CAACCACACACAACATGTTGTGTGGGGGGGGGGGGGGGGCGCCCCCCCCCCCCCCAAATAAATGGAAATTTTGAACTTTTTGTATATAAAAAATAGATAATCGTATTTATTGAGTTTATAACCTTATATTCAAAGAAAAAAAAAAAGAAACAAGACCGACAAACATTCGCTGTTTGATTGTCGATTTACATTGATTGTATTGTACAATCTATTCAATTGAAACAAAAAATGACAGTAGCCTTTGATCAATTTAATTGAATCAAAGAGTGTCACTAGTTTTTGATCAATTGTCAAAATGAAATGTATGCGCTTATCGCTCACTTTTAGTCTTTTTCGATCCACTATTCGAAATTTAGTGTAACGGTTTCTTCATATTCAAGTCATATATCGGACTAAAATGTCTAACACAGGTGGGAAAAGAAATTATCCAAGTAATAATTTTTTACAAACCTGGTTGAAAAGAAAAAAACGGCAATCAACAGAGATTGCAAACGAAGTTTCTGATGAAAATGGTTTACAGTGCCAACCACCAAATGATACACAACAAACCATCTCGACAGCTGCATCTTCATCATCCTCGGAATTTGAAGGTATTTTTTCCATATTATCAGAACCACTTTTTTAATTAAATATTTCTGTCTTTTGTAGAAGAATTAGCAACAAATAAACCTGCTTCTGATTTAACAGAACCTGATCTAATTGATTTAAATGAAACTTATTCTGTAATCGGTATTGCTACTGAATTACGTGAACTTCAATCATTAGTTTTGACTTGTGAACATTTAATCAAACAATCACAAGAACCCGACTTTTCAGAAGAAATATTTACTCTTGATACCATCTTCTTCTGTAAATCATTAAAAGATATAGCAACAAAACTCGAACATCTTTGTGAAAATCGAACATAAAAAATCCAAGAAGAACGTGGTGCTATATCAGCAAATAGCGAAACTAAATTTGTTAGCCGAGATCCATCTGATAATAAAAAATATGATGATAATGAATTACGATACTTAGTGTCGTGTGGTTCTTACCGCGATTTAAATTTATCTTATCCTCAAAATTTTGAATTGAAAAAGAAAAATAAGCAATGCTCTTTTACAATCAATTGGTATAAAGATTTTCCTTACTTGGAATACGGCATGAAAAAAGATGCCGTCTTTTGTTTTTGCTACCGTTTATTTGGTTCTGGTCCCGGTGGTGAAAAATCTCAAGAAGCATGGACTTCAATAGGTGTTTCATCATGGTCTAAAATGACAGATAAGGAAACTAATAAGAAAGCGAAAAACACAGGAACTACTAATTTTTCCTTCATATATAGGACAAGATGGTAAATTGGTGAAACATTTCAAATCTACTTCTCACATTACTGCTCAAAATCGTTTATTGAATTTTTCACAAAAGAAAAACAACATTGATCTAATGTTAGATGCTCGTCGAAGAATAGCCGATCAAAAGAGAAAAGAAGTACTAAAATTGAATGATAAAGTAGTTTTAACTTTACTTGATGTGGCTCGATTTCTTAGTAGACAATCATTGGATTTTCAGAGAAATGCAACTTCTGAAGGTATGATAGATAAATTCAATTTCAAAAGTTTCATTTTTTGAAAACTTATCATTCTAGGAAACTTTGTTGCAGCTGTAAATATGATGCGTCGTCGTGATCCAGTACTTGATCGGTGGTTTAAAGATTGTAGTTTACGACCATATCACGTGAGGATTACTTGATGTTAGACTTTTTAAATTTGGTTTTAATATTTCGATTTTAGAGTAATTATCTTCATCATAATTCACAAAATGAATTTATTGAGTTACTGGGTAGTGCTGTTCTTAAATCAATTATAAGTGATATTAATGATGCGCCATTCATTTCAGTTATGACTAATTCAACTATGGACGCATCGCATAAAGAAATTTATACAATTGTTGTTAGATTTGTCAAGAATTTTATGGTACAAGAACGAATAATAACTGTGGTCGAGTTAAATTCAAAGGTAGGTCAAGATATTTGTGAACATATTTTAGAGCAGCTGAAAAACTGTGGTATTCCAACTGAAAAAGTCATTGCTCAATCATACGATAATGCTTCGAACATGTCCGGTAAAAATATGGGAGTTCAAGCGTGCTTAAGTAAATGCTTACATAGACCAGTAATATATATTCCTTGAAGTACACATTCGACCAATTTGGTTGTTCAACATGCAAGTGAAATCAGCATTGATTATATCAATTGTTTTGGAATCTTGCAGGAGTTGTATAATTTCTTTTCGAGTAGTATCAAACGATATTCTTTACTTTGCGATGAGTTGCGTAAAACAAGTTATGGTAAGTATTATTCTATCAACAAAATGTTTGAATTTTCTATTGTCTGTTAAGGACTCATGGTAAAAGATCTGTCGCAAACTCGGTGATGTGAGCGCTATGATGCTATTCAAGCTATTGTTGTATCTTATCAAGAAATAATGAACACTCTCAACAAATTATCGGGATGTAATATTGAAACAAACACTGGAGAAACAGCTAAGAATCTTCTCAACAAATTATGTTCTTTTAATTTTTATACAATATTACTTTTTTTTTTAAATTTAATGGCATCAACTAATACTTTAATCATTCATTTACAAAAACCTGAAATGGATATTCTAGCAACAATTGATATAATTGGAGATACAATTCATCTTCTTCAACGAATGTATAACGATGATATGGCTCTTAATGCTATTATTGAAGTACGTAGATTCATTTTTTATATTTATAAACTTCAAACAAAGTCTTTTAAATTAGGTGTCCAGAAAGGATCTTGAAAAATTCAACGTAAATGTCGACTTGAACACAGAATTTCAACGTCTTCATCGTCGAAATAAACATCTACAGTCATTGTAAATAGAACATATTAATATTTTATAACTCAGTCGTTAAAATTTCGTTGTTCGATAGACATGAATATTATCAAATAATCTTTCAAAAAATGATTATGAATATGAACCAAGAACTCAACGATTATTCATCAGTTCTAATTGCAAATCTTAAACATTTTGGTCATTTATCGACTAAACGAATTAATATGTTTTCTCGAGAAGATGCAGAGAAAATATGCTCAATTGTTCCTGGTATTGATAATTATGAACTTCTATTTTACTAGATTCAACTATTAAAACCGAAAATTTTGGAATCTAGTAACATTACAAATGTACTAAATACAATTGGAGCAACTGGTGCTTATTCGAGAGCTCAACAAGTTTTTCAATATTTACTTACTATACCAGTCTCAATAGTGTTAAATGAACGATTGTTTAGTAAATTAAAAATTATCTTCGAACAACTATGACTGATGAAAGGTTGTTTCACTTGATGTTGTGTGCTATCGAAAAAGATCGTCTAGATGAACTTAACTTGAATGATTTAGCGAAAAGTTGGGCGAAAATGAAGGACAGACGTATTGAACTTTCATAAAGAGATTTGTTTTTTAATTTTTTTGTGTTCATTTTGATGATGTGTAAAAATAACTAATTAACGTGTTTGGTTTCTTGTTGCTTATAGATTTGTTCGAAAAATAAATAATATTTAACTTGGTACTAAAAACATGTGATGTTTTTCGGTGATTTTTCTTTGTGCACACCTCTGTTAAAATTTTTCAGGACGTGTACATCCCGCCCCCCCCCCCTGCCCATCCTAGACCTCTCGCGCGGTCCCTGAATAGAACGACACCAGTCACCTTCATTCTACCGCTTATAACTTGATCTTTTCTCAAAATTTTTAGAAAGTTTTTTCACCAATACATAGAAAAAACATTTTTCTACATGGTTGTAAAATTTGAGCTCATTTACATATTGTTTCACCGAGATATTAAAGTCGAAACATAACCATACAAAAATTCCGTTCTAAGTAGGAGCATGCGCTCTACCTTAATATGAGACAGTTACTTAGCAAGTGGAACGATCACTTTGTTGAAATAGTGGGGAGCAAATTTTTACACCAGAATATGGTGCAGTACTATTATTATTTCGTGTTGTGCTCGATTAGACATTTGATTAGACATAATAATGAACCAATTATTATTATTTCTTTTTTTTCTTCTGTTAATTCATAAAATAGGTGTACTTGTCAGCACAGAAACGATGCGTGTGACACTTATTTTATAAGAAATACGAGCATAGATTCAGCGGCTTAACATTCTTTTTCTCCATGACAAGGAAAAACAGAAACAATCTAAGGGATGATGCATCTACACCTCCTCAGACGTGTCGCATATGTGGTGATATCGCACGTGGTGTAAATTTCAGTGTTATTTCGTGCATGCCTTGCAAGTCCTTTTTCCGTCGAAATGCACACAAAAAATCGGTGAGTTTTACTTGTATTTAAAAAGAAATTGCATGCCACCAAATTGAATAGCTCTTATTGCTGTGTCAATTTGAAAGTGATTGCAATATAACAAAAAGAACACGTAGTTACTGTGCACCTTGTCGTTTAAAAAAATGTTTTGAATCAGGAATGGATTCCGCATTAATTCGAAATATTCCTGATTCCAACACTACTTCCAATAAAAATCAACGACTACAAATGACACACAACAAACAGATTCAGTTATTAAGAGTAACTTTATTTCTTAAATTTTTCTTGAGTACGATATGTTTGTTGATCATTTTTTTATAGCCTTTACCACTTGGTCTTCTTCAAAATGATCGTTCAACATTGACAACTAACGAATGGACTCTTCTTTCGAATTTTCTTCATGCATTTGATGAGCAGAAGTCTTACACACGAATTCGAACTTCTCTTAATGATTTGTGTTCATTACCACCCAAATTACGTTTGAAGCCGTCCGAAATCGTGAACCTTCTTCGTGAGCTGTATGGTAGTGTTGGACCACTTATGGAACGTTCATCAGATTTTCATTCTTTATCGGTTAATACACGTCAAGTTCTAGTTAAGCATAATTTATACATAACTTGCGTGATGAATGGACTTTTTTTGTGTCGTGAGCTGAATGTATTCGATAATATGGCTGTTTTCAATTCTTATAATCAACTATCAGGACCTGAATATATGATAGAATGTCGTCGAAATATTGCACAATTTGATTCAAATGGGACTATTATTAAAATCTTTATATTCATAATAGCTTTTTCAAGTAACTACTCAATTGTTACATATGATAAACAAGTAGACATTTCAATTATATCAAACTCAATCAATCTTGTTGCTATTCAGAATGTATATGTCACGATGTTATGGAAATATTTAATATATTTTTATGGATTTAGGGAAGCAATACTTCGATTCACTCGTCTTGTAAAAAATAGTCTAAATTTAATTACCATGGTTAATTCGATGCCTCGAAACGAAACTCGTAACCGAATGCGTGATAAAATTCTTATGGACACACAGCGTACATTGGTGATCGACGGTTGAGTCGCAGATATTGACTCAGATTACCACATTTGGAAACGATACTTCTGATGTATAATGGTTTTCGTTACTGTAAATAATGAGACTTACACAAAATAAATATATCGATGATCAATTATTACTGTCGTGTCTTCATCAGTGTTGTTATTTATTGCATAAAGTTAAACTAAAAATAAAGAACAATTATGTATTAGAGAATGAAATAAAATTAAGAGGAAATGTAGAACGATATATAGATCGAAAAAAAACAGAAAAGGCTGTCTTTATTAGTAAAAATAAAACTTATAACAGCAAATTGGACGCTAAACAGCGAACATTGAAGTATGCTTGAAGTTTTCGAAAAAAGTCATATTCAATGATAGTATTTTTAGTAAATAATGCAATTGAAGTCAAAAACTCTGAACTGAACACTACTTGATGCGTGTCAATTCAGTTTATTCATACAACTGAATATAAACGGATCTTACTAGTTCCCATGAAACATTTTGAACAGAACGGTGCTTTCGCGTGTAAATGTATCGTTTTATTTCGACGCGCCTGGACACATCTCTTTTTTATTTTTGAAGTGATTTTTTCAACTTGAAACGTCATCTAAAATCGCCGCTTGAACGTGTTCGAAAGAAAGTGCACTTTTTTCTGCTCAAGCAGCATTATCTGAAACATTGTTCGAATGTATTTACTTGCTTATTTCAACGCTTTTATGTTTCCTCCTTCTTCGAAAAAAATCATTTCTTAAATAATGCGTGACAAAGCTGTTCTTCTAATGCATTTTTTGAGGAAAAAAAATGAGCTAGCTCGTATATAACTAAATGGATTATTTGAATTAGTATTTTGAGTAAAAACACCGTTTCACGAAGTAACAGTCTGCTAACGTTTAGATAGACATCTCACAGTATGACACTCAGATAATATATGACTAAAATGGATCTATTCTAAGGATAATTTTATTTTGACCATAGCATAACAGACTGTATTTGAATATTAGGACCGAAAGATTTAATAGTGTAAGAAAAAAGATGACTACCTATGAATAGAAGAAATTGGCTTTGGTTAAAAAACTTGTCAGCAATTGGAAAAAGCTATAGATTATGTAATATCAAGGTAACCACTATGTTAAATTATTTTCATACAACGAGTCATAGTGTTTTTTAATATTTTTAGCATAACTTCTAGTGATGTGTACTTAGAAGATTATTTTCATGGTATTTTCGGCTTATTCGAAAAGGTTAAATGTCAAGAGAAAAAAAAATAGTACATGCTTAGTTGTTTCTTTCACAATAAACAACTCAAGTTTTAGCCCAGTTTCTATTGTTCCATTATTGACTGATGTAGAGCCCACAGAAAAGTCTTATTTGTTTGTTGGAAAGTAAAAGTCATCGGGAACATATAAACAAAAACCTTGTTTAATAATAATATGATTTCATCGTATTTTGAAGTTTATTTGATAATAGAGATATACTTTGATTTGATTCTATATATATATTTATCCTGTTCAATTGAATGTATATGTTGTAGGCAAAATTGGAATTCGGGCAAATTCGGAATTTGCCTAGGCAAAATTGAAATTCTAATTCTGTTCGGTCAAAATCAGAAGTCTAATACTGACCAGTTATTTTTCAGGCAGAATTCTAATTCTAATTCTGCCCGGGCAAAATTAAAATATGACTAGAGATAAATTCTTAAAAAGAAAATAATCAAAATATTAGTGTTATAACTGTATTTTATTCAACAAAATCTTTTTTTCTGAATATTTTACAATTAAAAGTCCAAATACTTTACTCTATTCACCCATATTTTTACAACAACCTCGTTTTGAATGACATTTTGTTGAACAATTTTGACTATTTTCTTTTTAAGAATTTACCTCTAGTCAGATTCTAATTTTGCCCGGGCAGAATTAGAATTCCAATTTTGCCTACAACATATATATTCAACAGGTTCTTTTTTTTATTTCAAAGAGATAGGACATTGAATGATTGTTCAAATTTAATTCGTAATAAATGTAAATCATTTTTTTAGAGTGCATAGTTTCAATATATATTTATACTTTTTATCTCGGAGACGTAGAAGCATTGAACAATTAATGATGTTTTTTGAAAAAAATATTGTTTTTTGTTAAGTATTTATTCACAGAACCAGAAATTTGATGTGGGTGACTTTGAGAAACAATGATGCATTGCACCACATGTATACAGGATAATGGTTTTTGGTAAGTTTTGGATAAATTTTCTTGATAATACAGTAATTCATTTTTTTTTCTGTTACCTTTGTTGTTCATAATAATATCATCAAAATTAAAACGAAACGGACAACAAACTTTAACAAATAAAATAAGCAATCAATATAAACTTCAACTAGAGAAAATAGAAATAGAACTGCAAATGGCTCCAGAAAAATGGAATTCACTCGATCTCGATTTCTGATTTACAGCAAATGAAATAGAGCATTCAGAAAAACTGAAATGTATACATTACAACAGTCGTTTGTTTTTCTTCTCAGCAAAAGAAAAAAGCCCAAAAAGAAACATTACAATTCGTTATTTGTTGCGTTAAATGCGATTTTCTTTTGTAAACTCTTGTTTACACATCCATAACTTTATCTTGTTCATTAACAGAATTTTCAAAGACAATTCGCGCATTCCAAACCCAACTAAATTCTCATATGAAGTGTGATATATGTACAAGTAACGCATTTCTCTAGCAAACAATTCAATTTAGCACATAAACACTTTTTCATAATCTGTAAACACAATTGGACAGTAATACCAACAAGAACCATGATCTTGTAGTCTTATTGTCTTCTTTTCATATTTATTTATTTCTATTTTCTATTCCTTCAATAATCAAATTGATCTATTGTTAAAAAACATGTCCATTTCTCTTTTCCTTTTATGCATATTATCTATAATGTATGACCTTAGAATACCATAATGAAAACTGAGTCGAAGAAAGCCCGGACATATGCAATATTTTCATTGAATAAATGTTTTTACAGATATGTTGTTTTTTTCTTCTTATGAGTTAAAAAGTTCTGTTTAAATTAATCTCAATCATTTCTTTAGAATATTCAAACTGAGCTGATAAATGACGTTCATAGAGATAAGTAATACTTATGCATATTTCTCAGAAATGATGAGTTTCACACAAGAAAAATTGAAATATGTTTATCAGAAAAAAGCAAGAAATAATAGAAAATTTGTCAAATGAAAGTGCTTTTTGTATGTCAATTTTCATTTCTTGTTAGAAATATCAGAAGAAACAGTTCTATGGAAAATTATGACGAATTACAGCAAACAAACGTAAGAGTATACCCAGTTTCTGTCCGAGAATCATTTTCAAATTGTCGAATTTCGTTGACATCTCTACTCGAATATCATTCATAATTATATTAGCTGCTTAGATTGACACTGTAAGAGGTTAGAGAACATTACATTTTGTTTTTTTTTCCTTTCGAAAGTCGTTTTCTATCCGCTTATCTGCATTAATGATTTTATCATATTTACTTCATTCAATTGCACGCTTCTTAAGTAACTTCTTTGCCAAAAATTCTAAAGATTTCAGAAAAAGATATCTTGTTGTCAGTAGAGGAAAAGTCAAAGTATATTTAACACATTTAAGTGTTCCATGACAGTTTAGCAGAAGGCTAAGTAAAAATAGATAGAAGGAGCATTTGCATATATCGACTATACTTCCACTTTTATTGTACAATAAGCATTATTGACATGTGTGCAATAAAATATTATGAATATGATAAAGCAACTAATATAGATAAATGAATAGAAAAAGACGTTTGTAGAAAATAAAAGACGTTTTTATATCAATAAAACATATTGTATGGAACAATTCATCAACGGTTTTCTTTGGTTAAAAAAAAGTGTTCTAACGTAGAACTTTGCAATGTTTTTCCATGGCTTTTTAAGAGCTAATCACTAATCAACAGTATACGAAATCATCATCATGAAATTATTTTCTTCCAAAGACACTTTCTGTGGTTTCGATTCGTACTAAATGAACATACTCCACTAGCTTCCTGAGATGAAAAACAATCATACAAAATAATTAGCGGTGAAATATTTCTCAATTAGCATTGAATAAATTTTAATGTTGAAACTTCTGCTGGAGTCGAACTGAAACAATAAGAAAAAAATGCTTAGAATGTTGTTTCGTAGAAGCCTATATATGATGTGAAAGCTCAATTTCATAATAACAAACTATGGAATGTATTTCATCATAAAATAATACATTCGTGACATATTTTCACATAAAACGGTTTATTCAATTTAAAGAAGAAAAATTTCTACACATTGTGTATCACTACTTCAATTCAATGAGTTAAAAATAAATATGCTAAATACTGAATTCTTTAGAAGTGTACAATACTTAATAAAAAGATATGGTGAACACATAGCATTATTTCACGAAAATTACAACATTGTACTGTTTTTGTGGTAGTGTCAAGTGATCATAAATGTATTGAAAACTAACAGTTTTTTATGTTTTTTTTTCGGTAAAATAATGTTAAAAATGTTGATCTCTTCAGAACTAATGATCAACATTTCTTCTCCTCTTAATATCAGTGATAAACAACCATGTTTCATGCTGCATGCGGTAAAAGGAAGTAAAAAGAAGTCTTTCTCAATGGATAGGGAACGTTCTCCTACTTCAAACAGTATACAACTAATATTTGTCTCATACATCCGAACAAAATTATGCAAGAAAAAAGCGATACAAATGCAAAATGACAATAGAATGCATTGGTACATATATAAGTCTTCGTTTGACACATCTGAAAACATCAATCGTTTTACTAATGCAAAGGAATTTTGTTGTTTTTGTGAATCCTGTATATTTTGTTTTTGGTCACACATGTATATTTAAAGCAATGCAAGAAAACAAACACTTCAATAATCACTTCACGCCTTTTATACGTGTTCATCAGAAAGACTTTGTCAGACGACACTCAACTAGAATTACTTATTAATTCACTAAGTACTTATGAAAAATCGATAAAGATCGAAATACTGTAGTCTCAAAAAAAAAAAAACTTTTTCACCAGTTTAGAAAAAAGAAAAGCTATTGGTGGCTGTAAAATATTTCTCACAGTTTCATGTAAAAATCGCATCTTTCTTGTGCAAATATTTGTTTCTTCTTGTATTATTTTTTTATGAATGTGTGACCAATAGAAATCTTATATAAATGGTTTCAAAGAGGGAACATTTTCTAAGAATAGATCGGAAAATCATCGTTGTACACTTGCTAATCGATAAACTCTAGCATAAACGATTTAGACCATTATTTTACATCTTATGAAATAAACATATATAGAACTAAAGTGAAAGAGATTTCATGCCTAATAAAAAAGTTCCTTTCCAGAACCTGTCTTTTAATGCGAGATAAGGATTAACCATATTGCACTGTTACTATAACGTCGTGTCGTATGACTGTCATTCAGCACTATTCTATATGCATCATGTCATATTATATAATTGGAATTTTCCTTTTTTATCAAAGAAACACATACACCAACATGAGTAACTGAGAACTAAATGACGTACTCCAAAAAATGTATTCAATTACAAAGAGCGTAACTTCACTGTGTTGATATTTTAATCTCGCAGAAAATTCACTGACAAATGCGTTAATATGAGGCAGTTAGTTAGCAAATGGAATGATGGCATTGTTAAAGTACTGAGAAACAAATTTCTATTCCAGAATCTAGCGTAACACTATTAATGTTCGATTAGACATTTGATTGGACGTGATAATGAACCAATTATAGTGATTTATTTGTTTTTTCTTTTGTTAGTTCATAAAATAGACGTACTCGTCAACACAAAAATGATAAATGACATTTATTTCATAAAAAACTTAGCATAAGTTCAACACCTCAACATTCTTTCAACATTTTTTCTCCTTGACAATGAAAAATAGAAAAAAATTAGGAGATAATGCATCTACGGCTTCACAGGAATGCCTGATATGTGGTGATGTTGCCCGTGGTGCAAATTTCAGTGTTATTTCATGTATGTCTTGTAAATCCTTTTTTCGTCGAAATGCACACAAAAAATCAGTGAGTTTTACTTATCTTTAAAAGAAAGTTTATGCCTGTTAATTGAATAGCTCTTATCACTTTGCCAATTTGAAAGTGACTGCAGTATAACAAAAAGAACACGTAGTTATTGTTCACCTTGTCGTTTAAAGAAATGTTTCGCATTAGGAATGGATCCTGTATTAATTCGAAATATTTCTGATTCGAACACTGTTTCCAAGAAAAATCAATCACTGCGAACGGCAGACGACAAACAGATTCAGTTATTAAGAGTAATATTATTTCTTAAATTTTCCTTGAGAACGATATGTTTGTTGATCTTTTTTTTATAGCCTTTACCACTTGGTCTTCTTCAAAATGATCGTTCAACATTGACAACTAATGAATGGACTCTTCTTTCGAATTTTCTTCATGCATTTGATGAGCAAAACTCTTCCATACGAATTCAAAATTCTCTTAACGAATTATGCTCATTACCTCCAAAATTACGTTCGAAACCATCGGAACTCAAGAATTTTATTCGCGAAATTTGTAGCAGTGTTGCACCACTTATGGAACGTTCACCAGATTTTCATTTATTACCGGTTAATGTTCGCCAAGTTCTTTTTAAGCGTAATTTCTACATCACCGGTGCGATGAATGGACTTTTTTTATGTCGTGAGCTGAATGTATTTGATAATGTGACCGTCCAGAATTCTTACATTCAGTTGTATGGATGTGACTATATGATAGAATGTCGTCGAAGTATTGCACAATGTGATTCAAATGGAAGTCTTATTAAAATCTTAATATTCATATTAGCTTTTTCAAGTAGTTGTTCAATCATTAAATATGATAATGAAGGAGATATTTCAATTATGTCGAGCCCAATCAATCTTATTTCTATTGAAAATGTATATGTGACAGTGTTGTGGAAATATTTAGTGTATCTATATGGATTTAAAGAAGCAGCACTTCGATTTACTCGTCTTGTAAAGAGTGTTCTAGATTTAATAAGTATATTAAATCAGGCACCTCAGATAGAAACTCGTCATCGTATGGTGGATACAATTATAAAAGAAACAGAACGTACATTGGTGATTGGTGACTGAATCAGACATTAACTCAAGTTTCTACATTGGCCACAGATACCTCTCATGTATAATGGTTTTCGTTATTGTGAATCATGAGATTTATACAAAAGAAATATGTTGACGGTTATCATAATGATGCACTCAATAGTATTGTTATTTACTCTGTAAAGTTGAATTGAAAACAAAGAACAAACATGTATTAAAGTATAGAATAAAATTAAGAGGAAATATGTGACAATATTCGATCGAAAAAAAAACATAAAAATCACTCTTTATTAGTAAAAATGAAACGTACAAAAACAAACTGTACACTATGTAGCAAGTATTGAAATATGTCTGAAGTTTTCGACAAAACATCATATTTAATGATAGTATTTCTAGTGAATAATGCAATTCAAGTCAAAAGCTCTAAATTGAATTCTTGGTGATGTGTCTCGGTTCAGTTTATTCCTACAAACTAATTTGAATAGGTCTTGTTAGTTCCCATGAAAAACGTTTTGTACCAAACATCGTTTGAACGCCAACTTTGATAATAAAAACAGTATTTTCGGATTAAAACGCATTGCTTTATTGCAACGCGT